CAAATGAACTCTTTTTTTTTTTTTTTTTAAGTTTTCTTATCCAAATGAAACTCTCTTGAAGAAGCTAAAAGAAGGAGTGTTTGCTGTTGTGAAAACATGTTAGGAAGGTATGGCATAAAGAGCAAACAAGCAACGTAAAGTAAGTGAGTAAGTAAGTACTTTTTACGCAGATAAAGGTCACAAAGTGCTTCACAGCAACCAAATACAAAAAACAGGAACAAACGAGTAGTTCATGGACCGACATTCTAAAATCCTGCTATGAAAAGGGAGACGCCAAGAAAAACGTAACAACATAGGCAGGAAATTCGAAAAGATTTGTGCTATAGCCTCGAACACACGATCACCACGAGTCTTAAAATGTGTCTGCGGGACAGACAGAGTACGACACTTTAGAGAGAATTTGATTAGAAGACATCAACGTATTTGAAAGGTAGCTTCATGGTGCATCAATGTAGTATGTCTGAGAAGTCGTTTAACATTTTGGGCAATCATCATTGCTCTGTGATACTTGTTGGAAAAGATTGATTGCACTTCCATATCTCTATGGAGTAATAGTCTATGGTTAGTTTATTTGAGTATTGACAATTGGAAAGTTCTCTTACCAGGACCTCTAAATTCTCTGTGTGAAGTGTTCCCCCCCGCCCCCCCCCCCCCCCACAGACACAGCATTTTAGAGCCACGCTACAACAGACTAACAGGGAGAAGTGTCTCCACTTGTTTCCAGTTTGAATGCAACACAAAAAAAAAAAAAACCCGTAACCTTTCTTTTTTGTGAAGAGTGATATGTGAGTGGCATCAATGTTATGTAAATTCCAGCCATTACACACAAAAAAAAAACATGTAAAAAAAATCAAAAGATGCCTTTAAGGCTATCTCAAGTTTAGCAAGTTGTAGACATGTTTATTATAATTTCATTAAACTACTTTAGTAAAAAAACATATATTTTATTTGACCATTTTTACCTTTATTGGATAGGACAGCTGAAGAGAGACGGTGGGGGATGACATGCCGCAAAGGGCCGAGGTCAGAACCCATTGCCGCTGCCGCTACGGCTTCTGTATGTGTGGCGCGCAATGCAACCACCCCAGGAAACTGTACTTTCTCAGGGTTATCGATAGCTCGTACAGGCAAATGACATGAAGTAATACTAGTGTAGACATTGGAGCCGCTCATGAATGCACAATTCATTCTGGGACTGTAAAGCCCAGTGAGAGACTGGCCACAGTGAGCCGAGCAGATTTAGGGAACAGCAGCTAAATTAGTGGGTTTGGAGAGAGAGTGATGATACGGGTGGTGATGGAAGGGTGTGTGTGTGTGTGTGTGTGTGTGGGAGACAGCGATAGATGGATAGAAAATACAGAAGGGAAAGGAAGAAAGAAGTTGTCAAACTGAATTAGTCATTAGAAGTGTTGAGGTTTCTTCTCCAAGCCTGTCCACTCTTTCTGCACGCACATATGGCTCTCCTGTTTCACAACCATGCACAGATTCACCCATGGACACACACAAACACACACATGCCACACTTCCACTCCAACGGGGATCTGCACAGATGTCCTCGGAGTACTGTTAATCCCATGTTGAGCTCTTTTTCCTTTAAGAGAACACCTAGTTAACATATCCTTTGTATATATTTGAAGCAGATTTCCATGTTTATTTGAACATATTGAAGATAGAATTGGCATAGGACTGTGTGTGTGTGTGTGTGTGTGTGTGTGTGTGTGTGTGTGTGTGTGTGTGTGTGTGTGTGTGTCCTGGCTTTGCAGCACTGTTTACACAATGTTACGGAGTGTTAAGCAGAGCTGTGAATGTGTGATTCACTGGAAGTGGGAGGAAGCAGAGAAGCAGACATCATTCCTGAGGCCCATAAAAAAAGAAGCCTTTAAAAAAAAAAAAGGTCATTTATTTTCTGTTTCTTTTATATTTATTCTCTATCGTGCTCCTTCAGCCTCAACAGAAACTTTAAAAAACTTACTCTCCTCCAGACCTGACTTCCTCCACCACTGTAAAAAAAAAAAATTGAACACAATCCCTCTTTTCTGTTAACCTTTGCATCCCTTCCCCGCTGCATTCCCTTATTGCGTCAACAACAAGGCCATGTCCCGGGGTGTCCAGCGCAGGGAGAGGCTCCAGCTGACACCTCTTGACGAGCCATGTCTCCATAATTACCAGACAGCGGCGAGAGAGCATTTCTGGCTGCTAACGGTAGCTAGGTGTGGTTCTGCTCTGTAGTCTGCAGTGATGTGATGCAGCGACAGCGTTACACAATAAGAGCAGCAAGTGAACTCACTCACCAGCCTCTACGTCTTCCTGTCCTTGTCTGTTCTCGATCTGTGTCTCGCTTTGATTGTGTCTTCCTGCGACAGCCCTGGCTGTCTCTCTGCCTGCACACACAAAGAGACGGATGAACCTGACCGGCCCTTCACACTGTCTTTCTCTCTCTCTCTCTCTCTCTCTCTCTCTCTCTTTTCTGAGGTTTGTTGGTTTCCTTGATTTGTTCTGATAAATTTGATCACAAACCTCTGAGCTACCCAATCGTTTCTTGCGCACAAAACTGCCACCGATACATTGAAGTCCCCTTTTACAATTTACATGCTCGCAGCTCGAGAAATGTCTGCCGAATAAAGCAACGCGGACAGCTGTCTTTTCTGAGCTCCAATGCGTCTGCACACATATGAGGAAGGCAAGGCATCTCAACCAAAAAAAAAAAAAAAAAAAAATCCTCTCGGAGACGATGAATCTAAATGTTTTTATTTATTTATTTTTTATTTCAGGGCAATATTTTTAGATCAGTAAGACATGTTTAAAACGAAAACCCTGCTGCACTTCGAAGGAACATCTTATCCTGCCAGACGTGCCATGAAAACAAAAGCTGTGATCAACTCCTGTTGCCGTTTGTTTGAAGACAAAGATGAGGAGAGAGAAAAAAAAAAGAAAAAAAAAAAAAAAAAGCGCGACTGCTATTATTAATTACTCATCCACATATTATAGTCTGGGATGCTGAGGAATGGCAATCAGCGGCATGAGCTCAGCAAACGAGCGTGGAGTGGTATTATGTGCCAGGATATGACCAGTCGCAGTGAGATCACTCTTGAATGCTCAGAGCTGTGATAGGAAGAGAGCATTGGCCTAGTTTGAGTCTGGCGTAATTATGTAATGCTTGAGTACCTGCAGCACCAGCAGCATGACAACTTCTGAATGTGAATCCAGGTTGTGGAGAGAGAACAGAGGGATAGTGCACACTTTCTTTTCAATCCCTTTTACGTGCTTCTGCAACTTAATCTTGAGCTGACATTATGCGCTCATTTTCTTTCTTCAGCATTCAACTTCCTTGTTTCATCCTTTCATCTTATCAGCTTTTTCTTTACCGCATATACCTCCCCCCCTTCATAATCTATGTCCGAACACCCCCCCCCCCCATCCCAGTTCCCTTCCTCTAACCCTCCATACCTCTTTCTTCTCATCACCGTCCTTCCTGTCCCCCTCTCTTTTCCAACCCATCTTCTTTTCTTAATGCCACAAACCAAATGGAGGGTGACTGTATGCAGCTGTGGGTTTGGTCCTCCAGACAGCATCTTAGAGAAAGGCTTAGCCACGAACACACACGCACACAGGAGGAGGAGGAGGAGGAGGAGGAGGAGGAAGGAGGGATCGAGCGCTAACCTGAGTCTTTCATCGGGCCTCTTATGCAATAGTTTTAAGATGGAGTTACGCTGTGTCTCAAGCGGGGAGGCAGACAAGTCTTTGGAAAAGAGGAAGATGACGTATGACAACGTTAAAAAAAAAAAAAACACTAAAACTCTAAACTAAAAAAAAAATGTCTTTTCCATCTCCTCTCCAGAAGGCAAAGCTCCATGCTGCCCTGCAGGAGAAAAACCGTCTGAACCTTGAGCTGATCAACCATCACCTGAAGGCATCCAAGTATGACCAGGTAGGGCACTCTGACATGCAGCATACCAGCATGCATTGCAAGGACACACAGAAGGATGGTCATTGGTCTACCGGACCGTGATCAGTGGACCAGTCTATTGTATTTTGCACTACTGGTGATAAAGGGGCTACATAGTTCATGCCCAGTGTCTTACAAATGGCTGTTACATCACTCGTTTGGTGGATTTATCTCTACACATCAATACACCTGCAGCCTTGTTATCTATATTCTTTATAATGCTCCTTCAACACAATGTATGTTACATGTGGTATTTATGTTTTGTTTTTCATCCGCACACACAACTCGTTACTTTGTGCGTTTCCTGTTATGTGTCTTTATTGGCACAGTCAGCCTTAGTCTCCCACTTCACACATGCACACATAAACACACACACACGCACACACACATGCACCCTGATGGAGACAGTCTGTGATGTAGGCGATTAGCTACTCTGGCCGCTAATAGTTACTCTCGCAGAGGGGGCCGATTTGACACATGTCCAGGGACTCTGCTCGGAGCTTTTTTTTTTTTTTTCGCTCCAGCAAAGTGTAACACAAAAAGACGCCATCTGTGCAGTGACAAGGTGGGCGCGGGGATGAAAAGAGAGTGGGGGCAAAAGTGTGGTTGCCGATCCCGGCCAGGTTGTACAGTGTGGAGAAGTGTGACCGGCTTGTAAGGGCACAAGGGAGCATGTACAGTAGCAAGTCTATGCAGAAGAGAGAAAAAGAGGGGGAAAGAGAGAAACAACCTGAGGGGGGGGGGGGAAGAAGGGAAACAAGAAAATTAATAACAAGTAAATAAATGATACTTTCTCTGAAGACTGTTAAGAGGAGTCAAAGAGAGTTAAATAGTATCAAAATAAATTCACAATAGGCTCATAAATATTGTTAGAAAGTTGTTTTTTACGTGGGGCTTATATTGCAGGTTATTCTGCTTTTATACTTATGTAATACAGTTCATCACATTTAAGACACTTTGAGTATCAAGGTTAGTACCTCAGCTTTAAATCTATTATTATTATTTTAGTGGACTTTATAAAAATAATGATGATTCTAATGTGATTCAAGCTCACATGGCACAAGTGCGATAGACTCCAGCTGCGGTCATAAATTCCTCAATGTGAATGAACTAATGTTCCTCTGCCACAGCACTGTTCACTTTGCAGTAGCTAGCTTATCTTTTTTTCGTGCGCTCATCACTTTTCGTTAATTAACGAGATGACTGGTGTACGGCTGAGGGACGATTCTGCCCGATCCTGTGAGGCCACCTTTTAGAGGGAAACCAGCTTAGCTCGAGGCCTCTGACTGATGAAGAAGGGAGAGTCAGAACGCTCCAGTCAGCAGCTCTGTCTCATCAAGGCTAAATGGAAATGTGCTGATTAATTTCTCCTCAGACTATGAACTCCAAATCAACCCTCAAGTCAAAAAAAAAAAAAAAAAAATCCTCTATTCATAAAGTAAAAAGTAGGTCTGCCGCAAGAACAAACCTCATCAAAATTGCATGCTTGTTTTGTCTTTAGAGCTTCTTCAAGTAAAACAGAGGAATTAAAGTGTGTTTTCCTCACTTTGCTTTGTTTGTCTGTTACTTTTTTTGTTTTGTTCAGCCGTTACATCCATGATGTTTATAATCCTCTTAACCTCCTTTTGCTCTTGTTGTTTTCTTGTCCTTCCCTCCTTTGCATCTGGACTCGTTCTGCTCATTTAGGTGCAATCAGACTATGACCAGCTGAGACAGACGTTTGCTGTAGTGAGCCAGGAGAGAGACGTGGCCCAGCAGCAGAGGAGCCAGCTCCAAGGCAAAGTGGAGAACCTGGAACAGGTTCTAAAGGTGAGTTGTGCTTCATTTCACATCACCTTTTTTCACTTGTGTTTTTCTTAAGTCATTAATTGAGACAAATTCTGCTCTCTTTACATGAATTCATCTGTGCCTTTTTTTAATACCTGCTTTTTTTTTCATGCCTTAAAGGTATAGTATGTGACATCCTGACTTTTAATAGAGAACAAATCAAATATACTCTATGTGAATATATTGTGGTGTAATGTGAGTGAATTAAAACTCCCTCTGGATTTGTTGTTCTTGGGTCTGTGTTCACACGGATGAGTCTGCTCTTCCATCAGCTTGTTTACGTTTCACCCCGAGTTCACCCGTTCCTCTCCAACCGCTAGCCCTGCCACCATGTGGGTGAAGAGAGGCAGACCCAGCCACTCAGGGAAGCTGCGTCTAGGTTCCTAATAACAGAGTGTCATGGCAAGAACCAGCAGACTTTCCAAGAGACTTTCTGAAGAGAACATGATACGTAAGCCTTTAAGAGATAATAGTAAATAAAGTTAACTACGGTACATCATATGGAGTTTGATGTATATTTGGTGTGAGACCAATTCAACCAATGAGATCCTGTCCCTGAATCCTCAGTCACTGAAAACTGTGAGTTATTCTTCTGAATCCGTGCTGTAGTAGAAAAGATGCTTTGCAAAATGTTTGGAGAAAAAATAGCCATGTGGTGAGCTCTTCTGTATTAAATGAGAACCACTGACTGACGTACTCACCATGACGTCTTATTGGTTTGTCATTCTCTCGTTTGAAGACTTTAGTTTGACATTTGCCATCTTGTTTTTTTTTTTTTTCTCTTTTTGGAACCAGGAGTGACTCATTTTGATGACAGGGTTGATTACACATTGCGTTGCACATTATAATCTCTTTCTCCTGGTTGGTGGCCACTTTATATTAACTTGTCAATCACAGGGCAGCCATGCAACCAGAGAATACCGTTTAAAAAAAAAAAAAATTTAACTGTAATATTGACATCAATTGACAAACGAACACCAAGCTGCATTTAAGAGACTTTAAACTAGCAATGGAGACCTTTAACTTGTTAAAAACCCCTGTACTAAGGTCATAAAATAACTAAAAAGGTAGAGTTATTTATCCATCTTGTTTCAAACAGATTCAACACCAGTGAAGTCGCCCCCTAGCTGCAATAAGTAAATGTGATTAAGTCACCTCTGCATTTGATTTGCTTTAAAGCAGAACTCAGAAAATCCTGTGAAAATTCCTGAAACCAGTTCATCAATATTCTAAGGAACACATTTCCCATGTCTATCCACAGAAGGGAGATATAACTATCTTCACTCATAAATTAGACTGTGAGCATGAACCTAAATGAACCTCAGGGATTGATAAATCTGGAGTCTTCCTAATCTTTCCCGTTCTTTGGCAAAGAAGACAAACGAGCGATATCTAAGCTCTAAGTCCGAGCCGTTTCCTGCCCAATCATTACCACTCAGCCCGTCAAAGTTTCTTTTTTTTCTTTTTTTGACTCTCTAAAGTTCTCCAACTTCAGCGAGTCTTCAGATATCCCATGCACATTTCAGCCGTTTTCTTTGGCTCACACAACTCATCACACATTTTTTTTTTCTGTCCTCATTTTTCGCTGCCTCTTTTTTGGGAAATGTTCCCACCTCGCCATGTGTTTGCTCTCGAAGAAAACTTTAGAAAGGAATGTGATGTAGCTCATGAGGTGAAGTGTCATCCTTTCATCCTTTTTTTTCTTTTCTTCATCACGTTATGGTCTGCCAATAGTAATCAGACAGTCGCACTGTGCCTTGAGAGGCACTCTCATTACAAATCCTCCCCTCCCTGAATCCTCTATTGATTGTCTGTTTGTCACGATGCTTGAGAGAGAAATGTACCCATCTGAGAAATATTTATCTGCTCTCTAATACAACAAAAAAGGGTTGCCACTTTGTTATTGTGTATTGATTTTGAAGACAAGAGACTGTTTAGAGAAAAAACAACATAGAAACAAAAGACTCTTTGAAAGTGGTCTCCAGTCAAATCTACTCAGTTACAGCAATGTCAATTTTTCTTTCATAGTTAATAAATAGTTTTATATGTTATTTAGAAGCAAAAAAGGCTCATTGTCATGTTTCTAGGCGAGAATCGAGACATGGCCACGACTTATTCTGAGCTCGTCTATCATACAGAGTGGGTAAAGGGCAAAACAAATGTATACAGTATAACAAATGCTCGACTTTTCAGTCCCTATAGAGGCATAAATGACACCTGTGATCAGGGGTGGACTGGCCATCTGTATGTTCTGGATAGTCACAGAACGGCCGTTGGTCCATGATGGTTGGCAGCCGCCACTCATGCATCATGTATTTTTGTCGGCCGGGATCAACGACCAGCCGGTCCTTTCATCCGATTCTGTGTCGATCTCAGATTTACACACATGAGCCTCATGCCACGGGCACAGCCACACTAACGCTACAGCCACACACACACAGTGTCAGTTTGGACGAGAGGTGCCCAATCTGTGGGAATTGTTCTTTTTGGATGTCATTTATAGTTCTTTAAGGACAGACATGAGGAATCAGCAAACACTGGAATCAGCCAAAGAAATTGCAATTGGTGCATTTCAAAAACACAACATCCAATCAACATCAGTGGTATTGTCATAACCTGGATACTTTCAAAAGTAAAGATTGTGACACCGCTGCAGGGGGCTCTTGCATTTCAATGCATCAGTTATTGTTGTCTGGGTCAGAGTCCAGGGCTGTGTTTTAGTCCTAGTCCTTCCCTGCCTGTGATCGATGTGGCTTGTCACCGGCAGATCATACTCATCAACGGCGGCTGGTCAATAGAGGGCACGACGGCGCTGCACAACCACTCTCTGTAAGGAGGATGACAGACATTGTATACATACATGTACAATTTTAAATGGGCAGAGTTAATATTATGTAGATATTGAGTCAAATCGATTATCTGCAATAAAAATGTAGATTTATAACGGCCTACTTGTCTAAAGTTACAGATTGGTGATGTGTTTCCAGTCTTGAGCATAAACAATTGTGTCCTGGTCCTTTAAGTTTGTCTCCACAGAGTTTAGGAAACACATGCATGTAAGCACAACTGGATATAGTGTTGTTTGTTAGGTATGTCAAGTAAAATAGATAATTTAAGTTAAAATTACTGCAATGCTATGCTAAATTTGTTGGCCAGTTTGCGGCATTTCCAGTGTGTTAGCATCAAGCTAACGAGCTTGAATATATATCCCAAAAAACATTTTAAACCAAAATGTATGCAGACTTGGGTATCATCATTTAAGGCAACACATTTTCCTGCAAACAGACTCTGATGTATAAAACAGTTTAGGGCCGAATCCCTCGCCTGTCTTATCGACCTCTGTCTTAAAGATGTTGTGTAAATGCCCCCATTTCTCCTGTAGTCCTTTAGGCTATAGTCAAAGAAATGGCTGCCAGCAGTCATTATGTCATCACAGGGTGTTTGCTAATAATGTAGGTTACTTTATCATACCCTAACTGGATATTCAAGGGTTGAAATCAAATATAGTTTTCTCTGAGGCTCCAGTGACAGCCTCTCAGCCAGCCCAGTCCTCTGCAGCTTAGAGCCTCTCCCTGATTATGCAAAGCAGTAACTGCCTGCTCAGGACACCTCGAAGCCACTCCGGGAGGTAAAGAGGCTTTTCTTTTTTCTTTTTTAAGGCGGAGAGAACAGAGAGAGAAAATGATGAATGTCACAGCTTTTCTAAGCTGTCTTTTCTTTTTAAGCCTGGAGGAACATCTTATGGCCTTAACTCTGTTTCTGCGAGATGTGTCAGCCCATCGTGACTCAGTGGAGAGATACTATATAGTCATGACTCGGCTAATTTGGGAAAGGCTAGATTTGGTATCAGTGTGGGTGACCATGCGTGACAGGTTTATCTGAGTCTTTTCAGAGTATACAGCCTGTTACATCTGATAGGTATACATTACATATTATATAACAAGCTCACACTGTTTAAGTCTATTCATGCTGTGGTCTTGCTGTCATACTGTGAGGAACTTTGTGTTTGTGTCAATATTGGCGCCCCCTGTGGACACAGTGTTACCTCTCGTCTCTTTTTCTGATTTTTTTTCCTTTAGTAGTATTCACACTAGTATTATTTTCTCACCAAAAATCTCATCCTGCTTTTTTCTCAAAGCCGAATGTATCACGTGCTAAACATGAACTGATTTGTTATAAATTCCTTTTTTATTTTAAAAATAAAACTTCAAAAATGTGTTTATATAGAAAATATCTGCATTGTTTTATTGGTAACTATACAACCTCAAACTTAAAAAGTATTATATTCATAAAGAAAAACAGGAAGAAGGATATTTTGTAATTTCATCGAGAATTTCATCAGAGAATTGAATTAAAAGAATCATATTCATTCATAAATTGTCAGTGTGAACTACAAACCTTGAGAATTTCAGGACGCTGAATTTCCAGCAGTATATTGCCACTCAGTCGGATTACTTAAAATTTCCCTGAAGGCTCATTGTCAGAGTGGTGGCCAGCCCACTGCAGAATACACCCTCCATTTATTGCTTGAGTATAGCCAAAGTAATACTCTGATTATTGTAAAGGTCTCGCTACAATGAATATTTCACCATCAACGGAGAAATGTTGCAGTTGAGAAATTCTTCTGAGTGATTTTCAAACGTATCGTCGGTAAACGTGACCACATTGTTTCCTTTTCTCTGTTTCCGTCCAGCATATGCACCAGTCTGTCGAGCTGAAGCAGCAGCTGCAGCTAGAGCATGAGCAAGCCTTGGTGGCCCTTCACACCAAGCAGAAGGAGATCAATCAACTGCAAAAGGTAAGGCCATATGGGTAGGTAAATGACAGCTTAATTTTTGTCCTTTGACATAACCCCTTTGGATCATCAATTTAATGATCAGAGCAGGAAACTGAAGCTCCTTATTCAGCATTTGGTTTGCCAGTAGCCTGTTTGTGCTGATTCACTGACACAGAATCACTGCACCTGTATCATAAATGTGTAAACACCGCCAGAAAGATTTGGGAATATCAGCAGATTTGATTTTACAATGCAGATTCAGTAGCACCTTTCAGATTGTTTGATGGTGTGACGAAGAGCTCTCTGCTAAACATGTTGCCTTTCTAGTTGTTGGTACATTTATACACCTTGTCAACATCTTTCAGTGTACTTCCTGTTTTTCTAGGTGCTGTATTCTTTCGACTACTGTACCCTTTGAGATAAGGATATATTCTTCAAATAACTTCAGACAGCAAAACTTCAAATATCACCAAGGACACATGGTTTTAAATCACTAACGCTTTTTCACAAAACTGGGCCAAATTTGTCACAAAATTAATTCATGGTGATTAAGTGCATACATATTACATTTAAATCACCAAGATTTTCTAGGCTATATTTTTCCTGTATAAATGACAAAGATCTTGTTTTAAAGGTAACATGTTATGCAATATACACTGTACCGTGTTTTTCAAACACTATGTGTCACTAGTCTGTCTACAAACCCTGATTATGAGAAAAGTCCATCCTCTAGGTCTTTTATCTTCTCCACTTTTCAGAAAATGTGTGCTCAAGCAGGCCACTTGGAGATTTTCCCTTTGTGACATCACAAAGGGCAGTAAGCCCTCCCCCAGGCGGGTGACACTCCCACAGTTAGGTGTTTGTTCCGCCCTCTAAGTCTACTCACCGTAAACAATAGGGCATGGAGCGAGAAAACCCCAGGCCTTCCAGAGAGGGCGTGGTAGGACACAGCTTACTTGCATTTAAAGCTACAGACACAGAAACAGCCTGTTCTGATCAGGGCTGAAATAGAGAGGTTTATAGGCATGATCAAATACAGGATCAGAATGGATTTATAACAAGGAACTTTACAGACATGTTTTGGGGATCTCTGAGGTTTATTTAAATGTGTTGAAAAGGACAATAATATGTTACCTTTAAACATGTTGCTTGCAGCATCCTTGTCCTTTCCAGGCTTTTTCTTTTGTACTGCTTTTTGGAAATATTCATACAAAATTCAAAGATGATTTTAACTGAATTTTTCAACTTAGACTTAGATGTTCTAAAAAGAGATACTTTAGGAAGTGACTGCTTCCTCAGATATTTTTTTTTTTTTAGGTTTTTCTTCCTACTTATGTTCTAACATTTGCTTTGGTAATTAACATTCAGATGGGGCCAAAAAGATGGTAGGCTTTTTAGGAGAAAAAAAAACAGAAAAAAACCCAACAGTTTTTACTTCTGCTGCCAGCCACTACTTAGTAAAAACCCCACTCCAAAATAAGTCCATTACTGCTCATCAGAAATGTGCCATCAGGAGTCTGCATCTCTTCAAGTACCAGAGCTGTGATCAACCAGTGAGTCTGTGCCAGAGTGTTGTGCTGACAGTGAGTCAGCTGTGTGCTGTCTGTTGTACCTTATGGACTATGATCACAGTGTTAGCTGTCTCTGAGGGCTTCTGTGTGTTCTCTACTAGCTCAGGTTCCAGCTCTCCAACAGCATGAGGACGCAGTACTCCTGTTAGACGTGAACTTCAATGAACAAAAGTCAGGCCATTCACTTCGGTATTACTGATCATAAAAACAGTCTTCATCTGATTTAAGCTGATAAAATTAAAATTTAAAACCTCTGCATCTTTAATGCATAACAAAAAAGACTGTAAAATAGATCAGCGACTATACGTTGAATGTTGTTAAAAATAAATTGTTACATAACCAATCAAAGGACACACTTAACAAATGTCAACCTATGCAAGCGTCAGTGACCTGTAGCTTACTTTAAAAAGCACCTTGTGCACTTAACTTTTCTTTGGCCTTAGTTTTATACTTCTTGTATTTTGTTGTTTCTAATAATAATAATAATAATACATTGGAGTAGTGCTTTTCTGAGTACTCAAAGACGCTTAACAAAGAATAATAAGAAAAACAAAACAGTGAAAACAACACAAAGAAGAAATAATGTAAGAGAAGCGTGATGTTAACAGTGTTAGCGGCTAGCAGCTAGAAGGTGGAGAGTGAGGGGGAGTCTCTGATGTTTTTTGGGAGTGAATTCCAGAGGGTGGGAGCGGCAATGGAGAAGGCCCTTTCCACGGTTGGTCCTGCAGGGGGAGGGGGGATTGTACCGGTGGAGGAGCTCAGACAGGTAGGGGGGAGCCAAGTTATGCAGGGCTTTATAGGCGATAATGAGGAGTTTGAAGTGGATGCTCTGGGGGATGGAGATCCAGTGGAGGTTATGGAGGACAGGGGTGACGTGAGTAGTTTTCTTGAGTGTTTTGGACGATGAACCGTAGATGAGACTGTTGCAGTTTCTCTGTCTTATCTTCCTCTTCCTCTTCTTCCTGTAAAACACCCTTTTAAAGAAGTATGTGGAGGTTTCTTTGTCTGCGGGCAGCGTTTGCTCAATCTTCAGGGACTTGGGTTGGGAACAGGAGGGTCGTCGGGTTTAAGTCCTGGTGCGGACCAGAATATGGAAGTCGGTCTGGTTGCTTGAGAGGTGTGTGTGTGTGTGTGTGTGTGCGTGTGTGTGTACACATGCGACAACATTAACAGGACATTAAATGGGTGTCGACCAACCACAGTCTCTCATAAGTTGGTCTGTGAAGGTGCACAATGAGTGTGCAATGGGCTTTTAATCTAATTAATATAAGCAAAACAATGCCTAGGTCATGTCTGATCATGTAAAGAACACATGTTGGGAAAGCAGACTCATGTGTCTTGATCCTCCTTTAAAGCAAGTTCCACAGGAAGTTTATTTTGTGCTAAACATCAGTGAGATGTAAACTGTTGGAGCATAGTGTAACGGCTGCCACCCTCTGCCCTGAAACATGTTGCATGGTATAAATGATGGCTTGAGATTGGAATTTCACAGACAGTACGCTGGCCTTTTCATCAAGCGGTTATAAAGAAATGCTGATCTATCATGTTATTCGAGACTCTGACCCAGGTTGTGACTCATACAGCAGAGTTTAAAGCAAACTAGTGTCTGAGCATCTGCGTTTGCAGTTCTACTTCTTCCTCTTCCCCCGGTGCTGCAGGGTTTCTGTTTAATCTCCAAACTTTTCTATCACTATAGTCGCAGCCCGGCACATCCCATTAATCCCGCTACCATGCCGACCTTGGATGCCCTTTTTGAAATTTCCCATGATCAAATCTCTGACCTGCTGTGTGTCATCATCATCGCAGGTCTTTAAGATGCTTGTCAGAGGCTCATCTACTCTAAAATATTTTCTCATTTCACTCTAAATCCTTTTGTCACGACAATAGGGCATAGACTCCTTCGAGTGTGGTTCAGTCGAGGTCGTGGTATTATCCGTGTGAAGCGCTTTAATGCGGTTTTACAGAGCAAGCGGCACAAGTTTGGCTCAAACAAACATCAGGAAATGAAAAGTCTGCCGACAAGGACTTTCTTCTCTTCTTTCAAATCCATCGAATCAATTTGTAAGCTCTTAACAGTGCCTTTCTCTACACTTATTGGCGAATGCACACTTCAACAGGAGGAAAAATATTCTGTAGCTTTACTGTAACACTCCTCTGAAGTGTTTTCTTTGAAAAGTCTAAACTTTTCAGGCCTTTTCTTCTTTCTTTTATAGTTCCTTAAACTCTGATTTTGTGTTTTTTTGGGGGAATATTTATCAGCAATGATAAATATATAACAGTTTTCCATCTTTTGCATTGATCACAGCTGCACTAATTGATGTTGAATTCCATCATCAGTTTGTTTTTTTCTTTTTGTTTTCTTCTTTCTATACTTTTTTTTCGTTTTCCTTCCTTTTTGTCTGAACAGAAAAATGAGGACGGAATGTTTCAGGTATTTATTTTCCTCCCTGATCAGTTTGATCTCCTCATATTCACCCTCTAGACAGTATGTTCATCATATAAGATTGAAGATCTCATTCATCTCCTTTAATTGCCTCTTATTTTGATATCCATGCTTGGTCTTTTAATGTCTACACTGTAGGGTTTATAATCCTCCTAACTCTTTCTTGTACTCAGACATGGTTATCAGAGTGTAGCAGTGTTATGTATCAGCAGCTGGAACAGTGCAGATGGCTCCACACCTCCATATATTTTGATAAGACTGCAGAAACTTCAATCTAACATGCTGCTATAAGCTCCAAACATGGCTCTTCAGGGAGTCTTTTCTAATTGCTTCTGTGGTTGATCAGAATTAGCAGATGAAATGTTGACTCCCTGTCTGAACATTACATTATGGAATACACTCTGATGCTTTGTGCCTTCCTTCCCCCTTTAAATCCTGCTCCCTGTTTTTTTTTTTTTTGTTGATCTCATCTTTCTTTGTTGTCTTTATCAAAGGTCAAGGTTCATGACCTGGAGCAGAAATGCAGGTCACAGAGTGAACACTACCACCAGCTGTCAAAAGAGCTGTTGAATTTCCATTTGCAGTCGGACACCTTGGATATCCAGAAAGTTCAACCCAATTCCACGTCCCAAATCCCCGTCTCACCACAGAGGAAACTCCCACAAGTCCGCGAGGGATTCGAAGCACACACAGAGACAGGTGGGCAAATGACAAACTTCAAATATGATCTGAGTCAAAGGGGTTTATTTTTTTCACATTTGACTAAATATATCATTAGCATTATGATTATTGGAAGCGCTTGTGGCAGAGGTGTATTTTTAAGGCTTTAACAACCATGATCTAACTTTATTCTATACTGAGGGTGACACTGTTTGATTTAAAGAGGGAACTATACACATCAAATTAGTTAACAGGGCTTGGGGAGTTTTACAGCACATGTAAAAAATGTAGTTTGGATATGAATACTACTTAAAATAAGAGGTTTACTGAGTAGTAAGGTCCTGATTTCTTCTTAAGGTTTGCAGTCTTATTAGCACCTAGCATCATTGCTAAACCAATCCCACTACCAACTAAATAAATATGGCAGCTTAGTCATTTGACATATTCTTTAAAAAAAAATCAGATCAGATATACCCTACATGTGTACGTCTTTAATTTGCCAAGTGTAATGTGGTCAGTTGAGCAAAAACTAGTAAGCTGTCATGAGTTTCTGGTTGAGTTTTGTATTTACTGTCACGGTGTGTAAAAAAAAAAAAAAAACAGGACGTGGACATGGACCCAATTGCAGTCTAACAAAAAACTTTATTTATTTAACAAAAGATCAAAAAGGCAAACAAAGGCTTGCTCTGTAAGTGTGCAGGTAAAAAAAGAAAAGGTTGAATCATAAGTTAAACAGTGAGAACATGAGGAGAAATTTCTGGGATTGACATGGGACGAACTGATGCAGAAGGGAACGAACACAGAGCCTAAATAGACATGCGCTAATCAAGGCCAGGTGTGACCAGAGAGACAGGTGAAACTGATGAGGGCAATCAAAGTGGAGGGAAAACACACAATGCGCAGGAGGTTAAACTGTATATGGAACAGTTTGGGAAGAACTACAAAATGAAAACAGGAAACCAGCATAAGTAACAACAAACACAAGGGAAGGAGAATACAAAATAAAACAGGAAGCAATTACAGGTCAATACAAAAATACCAAACTCAACCAGAAACTCATGGACAGTAAACAACATTCGGTTGTTCAGATATTTAAAACAAAGCGTGCTGAGAAAACAATTACACCTGTGGAATTTTGGATATACAACAAAATTCACAATTTATGCATGAAAACGAATTGATTGAATTTGGTTCGTGGTTGGGATTTGATTGAGTCCAAATGCTTGTAAACAGCCATGAACATTTTTTTACACACGTGATGTAACCAAGGTACATTATGCTACACAAGTTAAGTACAATATATATATGGACTGTTGGTTTCATGTATGACTCAAACCATGCTACCTGAGATATAAGTCCTTACATTTCTATAGTAGTAGTCTATTACCACCCGTTCTTAAAAAAAATGTATGCACTCTTGATAAATTAGATAAAAGCATGCAGCGGATTACTAGAATGAAAGACAGTGGGAGACATTAAATCCCCACACGGCTCACTTAACAGCTGGATGGGATCACTGCCAGCCAGAGGTGGACCCTATTAAAGGCAATACTGCTTAATCATGATCAGTATCTTCCCTAATTGATCACAGGCCTAATGTATGACATGAATGTGGTTTAACACATTAGTATTCTAACAACACAAAGTGCAAGCTGCACAGCCAGCAGATAGAGCTGTATCAGTGATGTAGATTTATACAGCGTGGCACAGACCAAAGGTCTTTGAAGTGCTGGAAATTCTGTTTTATCTTTCTCTTTACATGAAACAGAGGCGGGTACTCACTGATGCTTTTATGCTAATGCATATTATAATTCACTCCCGAAACCACCAGAACCCACTGATACAAAGGTTCCAGGTTTTTTGGCTTGCTTGAATTTCCTCAGGGAATTCAGCTTTTCACACTTTTACACATGACTTTTCTGTTTTGTATTTCCTACATTTCAAAGTGTCTCTTTTACCCCAAGGAGCTGAGTGGTATTTAAGGAAAGATGCATTGCAGATGTGAGATGTTGATGGGGGTGGAAAACCCTTTGCCACAGAGAGTGTTTGCTGTACACTCGCTTCAACAGTAGATCAATAGCTGTGCAATGAGCAGCAAATGAGTGCAGAAGGAATGACAGTTGCTCTTTATTTGCTATGGAAATCAATGTCTCCCAGGCAATGAGAACACGGCAAACACGCCGCTACTGATCTCCCAGTTCTTACCCTGCACAACACAGACTGGAGACAGAGAAAGACCAGAACTGCTGTCTGTCAAATCCAGCACCATAACAACGGACCGCCCCAGCAGCCCTCGAAAGCTCGCCTCCTCCGAGATAAGTCTGAGCGACACTGCACCACTAAACACCACCACATGAATGCATTTATTTCCCCATTTAGGTTGAGTTATGCTGTCATGACTTTCTACTGAATGGTTTACTTTACTATCTGTGGGGTTCAATTCTAATGATTAAACACAAACGTGAAGGACATTCCTCTGCTTCTTGTCTCAACCTATAAATGGAGGATGAGGCCAGCCCATCACCCAGGTCCAAGCCTCGCTACACAGGCCAGGTCCGCCTTTGCACTGCCCGCTACAGGTGAATTGAAGTACAGCTGCAGTAGAATTTCAAATTCATTTCATGTAATCTTTTAGGTAAATGGAAGCTGCTCTTGTAAAAACTTTTTAAAAAAGTATAAATTTCTCCTTTCAGTTATAACCCTTACGATGGACCAAACGAGCATCCTGAAGCAGAGCTCCCCCTTGTGGCGGGAAAGTATCTGTACGTGTATGGAAACATGGACGATGATGGCTTCTATGAGGGTGAGAAGTACAACAGCAACACTAATCACAAATTTTACCAACACGGAGGAGCAAGTACGATTTGATCAGGGATTTCAACCAAAGCAAAAAACATTCATGTCTAAAAAAAAGCCTTGGACTAATAGCCTAATGATGACAGTGTAGCAGGAAGGTGAGTACTTGTCTTTATGCTGCAGCAGAGAATGCTTGACTGTGACACCAAATGTGTGCATCATTGCATATTATCTCATCATGAGTTGAAATTCTATGAAGTTTTTGTTTCTTTCCAGCTATGCTCCAGTCAAACAGATTGATCTAAAGTCTGGTATTTGGACTCTAAATCCTCTTCACCTTTTACAGCATAGTAGGAGCATGCACTGTTCATTGGGGGTAAATAGACAGTTATATATTATTTTAGATTTTTCAAGGTTTTTTTTTTTTACCTTCAGCTTAAGCTCTGATTAATATGGATGGTCAATATTGACGCTGAAAAAGCAGAAAATTACCAGACCCCTTTTTTCATGTGTGACTTTTTTGTGTGACCGCCACAGTCAGTTACTTAAAATGTTGTCATTTTCCACTATGTGTATTGTATGTTTATTTTGGCTGCACCTGTGAGTAAATATACTTTATGTCAGTGTCAAGAAGAAAAAACAAATCCTGTAAACTCTTTACATCTGGTGATTGGAGTGATTCTCTGTCTAATCCCTTTAGAATTATAAAGGCTTCTCAATCAGAGGCAATTCTAATCCCTCCAGCAAGCAATCCTGCAGACAGCGCAGCCGGCGACAGACACAGTCGTACTCATCTGCAGTGATTCATTAGTTGTGGGCAGTGAGATTGCTGAGGAGCCTTGTTTTTTTCTTTTTTTTTTTTTTTTTTACCAGGCAGAAGGGAGACTCAGGCCTCAGACCAAGCTGTTGTCAAGAAGGGACCTCAGTCCCTTTTAGCTTGATGACTAATCCAGCGGGGCTCAGCTTAATCATCAGCACACACCAACAACACAAACACCCCCGCACACACATTTGCAGACACACACACAGATGGTCTTAAGGTCTCCAAGGCCACTGTGGAAAAAGGGATTGAAGGACAAGATGATATGGAGCACTTTTTGTAGACTAACTTCCGCCCTTTGGGAAAATAGAACGCTGCAAAGAAATGCAACTTTTTTTTTTTCCTCCTGTGTTGACTGCAACAGCTACATGCTCAGGGCTGTTTCCTGGAAATGTTCAAAAGCAGTGAACTAAAGTTCAAGTTCTTTGAGATGCTGAAACGAAGTGTTCAGTGTTTACTGGAGGGTATGAAAACCGAATTAGAGAAGTAGTGTTAAATCTCAGGGAACTGTACATATCTCCCACCTCTCACTGACTCATTCTGATCCCTGAAGGAAAACAGCTCCCAACGATCACTTAGTGTATTTAAGTTACAGCTTTTTTTTTTTTTTGTCTGTTTTATTTTCTGCTAAGGTGCCTTTAGTGGAGCTTAATTTTAACATCACAGTGGGGATTTTCAGATTTTCTATAGAGACAGTTGTATTATCAGTAGAAGTATTATCACTGGTATTCATTATGGTGTTTGATTCATCAACGTGAAGTTAAAGCGGGACATCAGAATTGATTCATTTATCCTATACTCATGCTTCTCTACTTCTGTCTGTGTTACAGGGGAGCTGCTGGATGGCCAGCGAGGACTTGTTCCTTCCAACTTTGTGGAGTTTGTCCAGGACAAGGAAAAACCAGCGATTCAGTCTGGAGAAGAAGGGGAAGACCTGGGCCCACTGGACCATACAAATATGGCTTTGGTTCCAGTGGATGGAGGTGCCTCCCAGGATGGCCTCTTGGGCTTGTCTAACGCCTTGGTTCCCTGTAGCAATGGGACAGGGGGGCCACTGGACCCTGAGGACCTGGCTGACGATGTTGTGCCTTATCCCCGAAAGATCTCCCTGATCAAGCAGCTGGCACGGAGTGTCATTGTGGCTTGGGAGCCTCCAATAGTGCCTTGGGGCTGGGGGAACATCTCTGGCTACAATGTGTTGGTAGATAGGGAGCTCCGTGCCAGTATAGCGTTTGGCGGCCGGACAAAGTGTTTGCTGGAGAAGCTGGACCTGGACGGCTGCGTTCACCGCGTGTCGGTGCAGAGCGTCACAGACAGGGGCCTGTCCGACGAGCTGCGCTGCACCTTGCTGGTGGGGGCCAACGTGGTGGTGGCTCCGTGTAGTCTGCGGGTGGATGACATCCAGCGTGACACTGCCGAGCTCTCCTGGTTGCCTAGCAACAGTAACTATGGTCACACTGTGTTCTTGGACGGGGTAGAACATGCAGTGATGAAGCCGGGGAGGTATAGACTACGCTTTCTCAACCTAAAGCCACTGACTGTGTACAAAGTGACAGTGATGGCACAGCCGCACCAGGTGCCATGGCAACTACCGCTGGAGCAGCGAGAGAGGAAAGAAGCTGGGGTGGAGTTCTGCACTCAGGCTGCAGGTCAGGAAAGCATGCTGCTATACACACAGATGCAGTAACAATAATACATTCATAGCCCTATAGCCGACTATACTCAGTCGTGTTAGGTTTGCTTCTAACATGTTTAAAGGAATATTGTGATTATAAAGAGATAACTGACTGCTGTACTGTTTATGTTGACACTGCTATGTAATGTTAAGGCATGTACAGTTTGAGTTTGTGTAAGAGCACAGCACAGCCTTGCCTTACCATACCGTTGTTGTGTATTGTATTTTGTCTAGGTCCAACACCATATTGCAGAACAGGTCAGAATGAAACATCAGTCCTTGGCTGGGTTTCCCTGAGCACTAAATCATTTTTTTTCCTTTCTTCTTTTTAAAAAGCCAAGGATGAGATTAAATTACGAAATAAGTGCTATGGTACTTTTGGAGAGGGCGATAGGCATTGCAGTGGGAATGATCATGACATATCATACAATACGATCAATGAATTAAGAGATCTGGGCAAAATGTCATTTATTTCTGGTTCTGGGACTAAAATACTTGGAAGAACTTGAAATCTAGATCAGTCTACATGAATTGAAACGTGAATGCACTTTGTTTGTAAAAACAAATTCAAATGCAATTTTGCCCAAGTTTGCTTACTGCACTGAGCACATCACTAATTAGCAAACAGCCACACGTCACAAGATATGATCAGTTATTATTCAGATGAGTCATTTACTCAGCCTACAGCCCGGCCTGTAGTAACAAGCGCTATATAAAGCAGTGATACTCCACTGCATCCAGACACAAGCATTTTATACGAGTGCGTGTTTGCTTCTGTTTGGATGCAGCCATGCAAGTGATATGCATTGAACCAGGAGAGTGTAAGACAAAGAACAGGCTGTAGTTAATCATTCTGAATGGTTTCCTGCATGTGGAGCTAACTGTACGCCTCTCAGGAGTCCCAGAGGCCCATATATGCCTTCATTTTGTCCTCTGACAGTGATAGGGAGTTATGCTTCAGCACTACAGCAGATGATAACAGACTGAAAAAGAAAACATATTTCAAATATTGTGTATGACTATACTTCCTTATTTATCACCTCCAGTATGATGATGGAGTATGTTAGGTAGGCCTGTGGTAGCTTTAATAACTTATCATAAACGAAAACTTTTTTTTTTTTTTTTTTCAACAAAGCACGACTATTGAATGTCCTCCACAACATTGCCACATTATCACAAGTATCACAAGTATCTGCATGGACGGTGCATATCTACATGGTCAAAATAAGGCGTCTTCTTATTCTTTTACAAATGTAGAAAATGCAGGGCAAAATTTGGAGTTCACCCAGTTTGTTGTGTCTCAATCCCCCTCACCCCCTCTTTTTATTTGAGCCTTTTTTTTCCTGTGCATGTTTGTGTGTGCGCCAAATTGTGCATCTGATGAATGCTTCACTTCCTCCCACTTGTTTGTATTGCTATCGATTTTATGAAATGATTTTTATTCATTTTTTAAATCATGCATTTTTTCCTTACAACTCTTCTCCTCTACGCCTAGGCCCTCCCCAGCCCCCTATTGATGTACAGGTACTCTGTGGGCAGGCTCCAGGGGTGCTACAAGTCCGCTGGAAGCCTCCCAACCTCACTTCCACGGGCACATCGAACGGGGCGAACGTAGTTGGCTACGCAGTCTGCACAAAAGGCCAGAGGGTGAGTTCGCAAATGTTCATCCTAGGTTAAAAGCATCTCGTAAAGTGTGAGAGAAAAAAGTCACTTTGCACTGTATCATGCAAAGCAGTGAGGGACTAGAGAATATACGAGCATATGGGAACTATATATGTGTCTTACATTAATCATAATGAATCAGGTTACATTGTTAAATCATATATCAAAGATGCACAGGGGGTTATGTGTAGTCTCTGTTGTTGAGATCACATTATGTCATCAGGACAGTAAGCGTTCACAGCAGTGCCACCTACTTGTGAATCATGTTCAGTGCAAGACTCTCTAAGCTTAGAGATGTAAATGTCCAGGAAGGCTCTCTTACTCCCTCTTGTGACTGACAGGGAAAATCAATATTATTTTCTGACAGCACAATGTTTTCTCTCTTATTATGTGCTTCATATAATAAACCAAAATTCAACAATATGAATGGCTTTGCCCAGAACAAAAGGATATTTTTCCTTCCTTAGTGTGGTCAGCAGTGGGGCTGAAGCGTTGTCCTGATGTTTGTACAGAGATATAAATAATGTAAAATATTAGAAAAACTGGATTAATTCGATGAGGATGGGATCATGTTTTTACTTACTCATGTTTCAGTTGTCGTGAAAAAACAATAATGCATCTTTGCCGTTGTTTCTGTTTTTACATTTTTTTTTTTTAATGCAGATAGCAGAGGTGTTGTACCCACAGGCAGACTATGTTACTGTCGAGCTGACGAGGATTCAGTGCCTGGAGGCTCGGGAAGTGATCGTCAGGACGCTGTCCGTGCAGGGAGAGTCCCAGGACTCCCAAGTCGCCGTCATTCCAAACAACCTGCTAGTGCCTCTTCCTGCGATTCCCCTGCCACCGCCAATGCACCCCCATGCAGGCCCTCCTCCTCCCCCACATCCCCACGCTCAACCCCACCTCCAATCGCCTCACCACCCCCATGCCACACCCCAACTTCCTGCTCCCCCCCAGGCACACGGACAGCCGCTCCAACCCCATCCTGCACACAATCAACCCCATCCCAGACTTCCTCATCCAGGTGGACCCCCGCAACCCCAGCTTCGACCCCCACATCCTCACCCCCGACCCCTGCTTCTTCAGCCCCGACAACCCCACCAAGGTCCCAGGCCACAGCACCAGCTGCCTCTGCTACCCCACCCCCAACACCATCCTATACCTCAGAGACCAGTATGTGCCAGAGACCTGGATGCCAAAGACCACGCAGCCCACCACGGGGGAGCTGTTCAGCCTGGACAGCCTGGCTGGGACCCCACACGTTCACCCTCTTCCCAGCCTCCCGTGCCCATGCAAGGCCACACCCTTGCGGCCCCACCACTGCCAATCCTCGCTCCCCGTCCCCACAGAGGATTCTGCCGCAGCCCCGGGGGACACTCATTCCAGACACCGTGGCCAAAGCCATCGCTCGAGAAGCAGCGCAGAGGGTGGCAGCAGAAAGTGGCAAGGTCTCATGGAATTTACCACTATTCAAAAATTTTAACTGAAAAGAAACTCAGCATGAATAGGCAGTTTTATTTAAAAAGACTGTTTTGCTAATGTATCAAAAACAAAGGCCAGGCCTAACTGTCTACTGACTAATGTCATTCCCTTACTCAGTATTTCACTTTTCATTTTTTTTTTTTTTAGCAGGGGGAGAGGCGGCAGGGCAGGTATGGGGAGCAGGGTCATTCGTTTCACCAGCATCACTCTGACGAGGAAGAGGAGGATGAAGAAGGCTTTGGGCGCGGGCGTCGGAGAGGACCCACAGTTGATGAGTTCCTACGAGGCTCTGAGCTGGGGAGGCCGGTAAGACTAATACGATAGTCCATTAATCTCGAGGCCTCCCCTTATCTTTTATTTGTTTTCCAGTAGAAAACCTCTTAGGTGTGCGTATGGAAGCGTGTGTGCAGGCATGTTTGGGTGGCTGCATGCATACACTCCTTTTCCTGTGTCTCTGTGTGTTTTTATGTACACGTGTTCACCTATCCATGTGTGTTTGGTGTGTGCATGTATGTATGTGTGTTTGTAAGTATGTATGTGGACTTAAACATATATGCGTCTGTGTGTTTGTGTTTGTGTGTGTGTGTGACTGTTAAAAGCCTCACTATAGTCACAATGAAGATTATCACAGCGAGAGCAGCCGGGGGTCTGACCTGTCTGACATCATGGAAGAGGATGAGGAGGAGCTGTACTCTGAGATGCAGCTGGAAGAGGGACGCCGGCGCAACTCGCACAACACACCCAAGGTGCAGTTCTTTGCACTTACTCTAAACCCCAAAAGCCATAACCATCCAAATTAATTAGTACTTATTAGTGAACTGCACAGGCACAGATACTTCAACTGAGACTGCTGCCTTGACTTGCATTTGAAACATGCTGTTAGTGTGTGTGCTGAGTTTCGTTCAAATTCATAGAAGAAGCGAGAGTTTGAAGGGCTGAGCACCATGATGAGAAACAGAGAAAGACAGACTGGGTTTGATTGCTTTAAGGCAGAATATCAACATATTAGTGATTAAACAGTAATGGAGTTCCAAAAGAGTGGTCATCCACTTTGGAAATTTTTTTTTGTTTATTTGGGAAACTTGGCATTTTTAATAAGGTCATATGGCTGACTATCTTCTACATTTTACACCACATTCTTCTTTGTTAAGTAATGTGATTTTATCATACTAAGTGGGTGGCTGCAGTCTGGGATGGATGATGCAGGCTCTTAGTTTGGTTGGAGGTAGCTTGGAGCCATGGCGGCCTGCAAGCTGCAGTTTCTGGGGCACCCTCTTGCTATCTGGGAGCAGGTCTTAATGTTCGGGCGCCATGGAGAGAGATCGAGATAGAGTTGGTTTGAATGATTTGAAACATGCTCGCACCTTGGAGAGAGACACAGGGAGTTACAGGCTTCGAAGTGCTGTGAAGGTAGAGAACAGCATAACAGACAGCTGTAACGGATGCCTCTGACACAACCTCACTTTTTTTTTTCTTTTTTTTTTAAGTTCAATTCAGTTGTATGTTATCGGTATTTGCACAATTTTGAAGTGTTAAAATGTCCTGTGGGCTTGTGTATGTCTGAGTGTATGTCTTTGCGTCTGTGTTTTTGGTGAGCCAACCTCTGAGTGCTGCATGATTTCGTTTACATACAATTTGTTCAAGTACATCAAAGTGCGTTTTTTTATTTTATTTTATTTTTTACAAAATTGTTTGCGGGTATCTTTCTGCATGTCTGATAGCAAATAAAGCTACGCTTCATGAGTGCGAATGCTCCCTTGTTAATGTGCATTTCAGACCAACACTTCTGCTGGAGGCCGTCATGACCGGGAGGCTGGGAGAAGAACTCATCACGGCGGTTCCCAGCCTCAAAGAAGGCCGCTAATGGTCCCCTCCATTGGTCAGTATGGGCAGGTGGCTTGAGAGAAATAAATGGAAAATCTTTTAAATCATGTTTTTGTTGCTATTTCAAAACCGTCATAAGCTTCTCCTTGTCTTCAGAACACCTCTGTGTCAAAACCATGGTCATATCACTACGTGAACATGTGTATGATCTTGAAGACTGAATTTTGCAACCATCTTACATTATTCTTAACCTGCTGTGAACAATATATCACACTATAACCATCAGCAATAGCAGACCTATTTCTTAATTATGTGTCCTGACTATAGTTTAGGAGTAAGTTCATAAACTTCACCTGATTGCTTAGAGGAGTACATGATTGATTTAATTTATTTTCCTGTCATGCACACAGAGTTCCCAACCCTCATGGCCATGGGTTTATAAGACACCAGAAATTCAGTCGCAGTGGTTTACATTAACTTTTCACAACATTACAAAGTTGCAGGCTTCTGTCAGAGATCAGTCTTAAACAATGTGTTCTGTCTTTTCTCCCAGGTTTTACAAATCAAATCTGCTACATCAAAGGTTCCTTTTTTTTTAAAACACAACTCAAGTTTTTCATAATCGTCTCGCCAAAAGAAATCAGTAATTTTTAAAGAACATCCCTTATGTCCTTATAGTTTGAATGTATAACAGAAAGTGAATCTCATTTTCAGTTTCACCAAACTCACAAAACAAACAAACTCCTCTGGAATGGCATTAAACCTTCCGGTCCTAAAGCTAAAGGTAATGTTCCTACAAATGCATGTTTGATAACGATCAGTCTGGCTTCCAAGCCCTAAACAGGAGCTAGACGTTATTAATTACAGTGAAAAATGCTTTTTTCCTTGCTGCTGAAAAGCAGAAAGCTCCATGTAAGTCCTCACAGAAATTCTGACACTGTGGATCAATCCTTCTTCTGAGTCTTTTTTTGGTTGGTCTTAAAGGGGCCGCTCCTAACCTATCACAGTCCTATCGGTCTAATAGAACTTTTTGTGTTATGGTGGAAGTTCTCCATCTTCTGTCACATTGCACCTAAGGCGTTCCTCAAGGATCAGTTTTAGGTTCATTAATCTTCTCCATAAGCTTCCAGTCGGTAAAGTCATCAGTTGCCATAATGAATAGTGCCACTGTTACGCTAGCAACACCACATTTTGTGTCCCATTGCAATCCATCAGTCAAAGGACTCCAAACTAACTTAATGCCCGCCTTTCTGATATCGATTTCTGGATGTTTCTAAACTTCCTAAAACTTTACCATAACAAAACAGAAATTTTCATTGTTTGCCACACCCAATTTCTTAAGGTGAGATTGTCCACAATCTATGAAGCCTATCACATAAATTAGCCAAATGAAAAAAATGAAGGCATCAATTTAAATTAAACAGATTTAATCAGCTTTGTTTCTTTTTGATAAAGTAAATGAGAAAAAAGTAAACCGTTTTTAAAAATCCAACCATTTTAAAATTGGTTTATTTTTTAAATAAAGGGTTAACTCAGTGTTTTAAAGTTCTTATCCAGTTTATAAGTAGTGACTTCTCAGATCAGCTGACATCTTTGGGGCCTCTGCAGTTTTGTCCAAGATCCCAAGGCTCTGAAACCTACCTGCTGAAATCTAGTTTGCTAAATCTGTCTGCTGCTTTGAATCCCTTCTTAAAAAATATTTGATTACAAGAATCTTCAATACAAATCATGAATTACCTTTTGGAATTGTTGAATTTTGCATTGTAACCCCATCACCCCTCTTAATTGGTGTTTCCTGTAGAAGTAACCTCTGAGAATAACAGTGAGGGAAACCCCTCCCCCATCAACGAGGATGGTAACTATGGCAGAGTAGCTCGGCACAGGACGTGGCCATCCCGCAGGCACATGGGCGGCACCAGGTCTCCCCATGGTATGTGCCTGCAGTCCTGTTCTACCACCACAGCATGGAAACAAAAATGCCACCAGCAACTGGCAAACGGCAACAAGTAGCTGTGGACACTTGCAAGTGCCTGTTTCTATGTCGTTAATAATAATAGTTATTATTATGATTTCAGTTGATCGGCATGACTGCACTGCACTGAAATGTTAGCCCCACTGGAAAGCCACACCTGGGGGTCCAGGATGAACGTTTCCACAGTTGCAGCTGATAAATGATTGATTGACTGCTCAGAGAATGCCTCACTCACTGCACTGAACTCCAGATGCCTGCTAAACCCCCTTCCCCTCTGTGGTACAACCACACCTACAACACTTAAAAACGAGAGCAGCCATGCATGAAATATTGAAGAATCATTAGTGGACCAAATGTAGGATTGGCTACACACACACTCACTCACTGCTGTCTTTGTTTTTTAAGAGGTTTTTTTTTTTTTTTTTTGGACATTTGAGTTTGAAATATCAGCTGTTGGAAATGCACTTCTCCCTGACTTTTTTTAAACCAAGAATAGCATTAATACAACTGGGGCTGCCATATGTTTAACTGGGGTCAATGCATTTCCCATCAAGCTAGTACTTTCAAGCTGCAAAATAAAGCTTACGCCCCAACAGTATCACACTCTGCTAGCTGTATTGCAATTCCAACTTGGGTAAATGACAGACTTTCACAACAACTCTGCCACCTCTGCTTTTGACTTCTTGCTGTTACGAGGGTTGGCAATGTGTGGAAGTTTAATACTTTTGCTTTAAATCTTAGTTTTGCACATTTTGTTTTCATACAAGTAACAGTAAGAATGTGTTACATCTTTCAGGATGCATGTTAGAGTCTTGAGCGTTTTTGATGTCGTCATCTGTAAATCACATTCTGTCTGTGTACTGCATCATGGTATGTGTTGCACCCCATTTGTCTGTCACTGCTTATGTTAACATCAAAATGGACAAAATGTGTATGTGTATTACAAAATGACCTGACTAGGTCACTGACCACAAATTCCTTCCTGCATGCTGACAGGCACAAATGGCCGGACAAGGATAACAAAATGAAATCCTTTTATTGATTTACTTTGAAGCATGGCTAAGATTTATCACTATGTGTTCAAATGAACTTTAGTTTTAACAACATTGTTTTCAATTTTAGTTCAGCACAAGCAAAGGCTTACGTTTTACAAAGTTCCTGCTTTGGGAATGGGATCTGAATTCTTGCTTGCAGTATTAAGTAATGCAGTTTTTGTTTTTTGTCTTGTCAATGTGTTGAAGATGGTTACAGGGACCGGGATCGCCGCTCACCCACATACTATGATGAGTCGGAGCCCGAGGAATCCTTCCGGATCTTTGTGGCCCTCTTTGACTACGATCCTCTGTCCATGTCCCCCAACCCGGACGCAGCCGATGAGGAGCTGCCCTTCAAAGAGGGGCAGATCATTAGGGTGGGACTTTATGATTAAGTCAGACAATATGACCCAACAGTTTAAGCTTGCAGTAACTGCTGCAGGATGTTTTCATTCCATACTTTAAGTTCCTATAAAGTTCTCAAATATCCTTCACTAGACATATGACACAATATACTTTGTTGTCATTGTATGCATACAATGACATTTGCAGCAATAGACAAAATAAAATAAAAAGATGAAATATAAAAAATGTCAACAGCAGATGAATACAGCAGACGCAGAGTCTATACAAACGATAAATGAATAATGGCTATTGCACAAGGTGTCCATATTGCAGCAGGTTTAAAGTGCATTATACAGGTTGGTCCTTAGCATCTGTTTGAAGGTGTGTATGTGTGTATGAGAAAGTTCCAGAGGGGGGGCTACAGCTCGGGTAAGAAGCTGTTCCTCAATCTGTTAGTACGGGTTTTCATGGTGTAATATCTCTTTCCAGATTGTAGGGGGACAAAAAGACTGTGTCCTGGATCAGTTGTGTCCTTGCTGATGTTGGTGCCTCCCCTTTGTAGGCAGTCAGCATACACTGCATTGAGGTCCGGGAGAACAGCTACTAAAATCCTCTGTTTTAACAACCCGGGCCAGGTCCTTTTCGTTTTCTGCTGTGCAGCTAGCATACCACACAGTGACACCCTGACAGAGGATGCTTTTTATAGTGATTCTGTAGAAGTTGACCTGCAGCTGGGAGGGGAATGCTGCTTTTTTTTCAGTTTCCTGAGGAAAGATAATCCAATGTTGAGCCTTCTTCACCAGGTGGGAGGTGATGGTCTCTTTTATTCAGAAAAAGTTTCTGAACAACACTCAGCTAAATGTTGGACCTCCTCTCTGTAGTGTTCCTCCTCGTTGTCTGTTATTAGCCCAGACAAATTAATGTCATGTTTTTTTTTTCCAAACTAGGTGAATCATTGATAATTGAACAAAGTCCCTATGTGGCAAAATTCCCAAGTAGTTTATTTTAAGATGTTTTCATTTAGCCTACAAGGCTGAAGTTGTCTGGGTTATGCAAGAGATACTCCATAACTTAATTGTGTATTTTGTCTGGTATCTGATATCATTGCCAGAAAACAATTGCTGTGCCAGCACAAAAAAAGATTGCTGACTAGGGACATTAGGGACACATCTTGGTGTCAGATTTAATTATTCAGCAGACTGATCCCTCTCTGCCTGTTTATGTTGGTAACCACTGTAGTCTTGTCTGTTCTGATCAGAAAATGCTGGCCAGCTATGATGTGAAAAAATGTGGAAAGAATTAAGAATACTCATTTCAAATACTCCACAAAAGTAGTTGCATCCCAACTGAAATTTAGCAAAGCGCCCATAGCACATGGCCACAACATGCTATGATAGATGTCCTTGATTAAAAACAGAGGATACCACCAGAGAAGGTGAAGTGTCTGACTCTTAGCTCGGGAACTTTCATGCAAATTCAGTGAAAAGCCAGGAGCGTGACAGAGCAAAATAAAATTGCAACACTGCCTGCTCTCCCGTGATTGCGCATTGCTAATTGTCAAATAGTCTTAGTTGTGAATGCTTTTCTCAAAGGGGAGAAGATAGCCTTTGTAAAATAAACCATTAAATTAAAAGTTCTCTGGGATTAACTGTGGCAAAACCAATCTTAACGGCTGAGCAAAACTTTAGGGGAAGGGCTGTTGCCATCTAGTGTACTGAATGAAAACACATGACTTGCCAGCCCTTAGTGATTAGACTTGATCCAATTGAACTCGAGACATCTAGCTGAAAACTTGACAAACACTTGCCGTGGTGACATGACCAACCGTTAATAAACCCATACTTTCAGCTGCAATCACACAGATCTTTCTGTTTCTTTCTCAGCTCAGACCTCCAGAGCTTTAGTTGCCCTTGTTTAGAAAGCTGGAGAGTAGTCACAGATGCATTTGAATCACTACTGTAGATACCATCACACTGCCATTACACAGCGAGAGTGATGTACAGTGTGGCATGGTGAAGGATGTAATCTGTAGCCATTCTGAATTTATTAAGCAGAGGCGAAAGTGGACCACCTGCGACCGGAGGTCCACTAGTTACCTGTCTTTGCATGCTGACAGAGAACAGCACATTGTCAATGCATGCGTACACTTACACACATTTTTAAACTATCTCTGAGCTGGCAGCAGTTTAATAAAGAACACAGCTTACTCATTCAGCAACCCTATTTAGCTGAGTTGTTCGATGTGAGTTAAAGAGTGGGGATGACTGGATGGTGGTCCTCTTATGCATTACCAGTAGGCATGAAACAAGGTTATTTGGGCCTTGATAATAATGGGCAAAATGTTCCTAAGCTGTACAGATTCTATGGATTGAATGGACTGAAACAGAAAAAGTTTCCCACGACAGCTTCTTAAGGCTTCAGATGCTGCGAAAGACAAAACAAACTGAGATCCTAGGATTGCGACCTTAAAGTAACGTGTATAAAAACATGAGAATCAATGGCATTAAGAGTACCACAATAACTTTTAAGTTTCCTAAAGGGACCTTCAGTCAATTCAAAGTGAAAGGTGCCTCTAAATCACTCCATAACTCTGTTCTGTCACAGGTGTACGGTGATAAAGATACAGATGGGTTCTACAGAGCAGAAGTGAGGGGCAGGATGGGGCTGATACCCTGTAACATGGTGTCAGAGATCCGAGCAGAGGACGAGGAGACCTTGGACCAACTCATGAAACAGGGCTTCCTGCCGCTCAGCACACCTGTGGACAGGATAGGTACTACGCAGCCCACTTCATGTCATGAACAGGAGAATGTCTTTGTGTTTGAACAACGAGGGTGTGAATGAAAACACAAGATGAAAACAACTTGCCATCTGTTTTTTTTTTTGCTTACAGAGCAGAGCAGAAGAGGACTCCGTCGAGATCAGGCCTCAAGGAGGATGGTGGCTTTGTACGACTACGACCCCCGAGAGAGCTCGCCTAACGTTGACGTGGAGGTATCACTTACTGCTCAGGACCTCTTGCTAAATGAAAACGCACTTAACAGAACCAATACAAAACGTCATATTCAATCTATATCCCATTCCTGTGTATCGCTTCTTGTATCTCTGTCTCCTGATAGGCTGAGCTCACCTTCTGTGCTGGTGACATCATTGCTGTAAGTGGAGATATCGACGAGGATGGATTCTATTATGTGAGTGCAGCTTGGCTATGTTTCCTTTCTTATGGACAGTTGATCTATCCTTTGTTCAAACTTGACAAAACTGAAAAAAATCCATCTAGCCTTTGGTTTGTATTCAGAGTCAACAAACAAGATGAAATGTTACAGTTTAAAAGGGGCTGTTCTACAGACTTTCTTGTCAACGTTTGGCAGATCCAGGCTTGTTTTTTTCTCACCCTTGTTTCCCCTCTTTATCCAAAGCTAAGCTAAGAGATCCGGCTTGTGGTTGCATCTTCAGTTTTACTTTCATCATCTTCTTGTGTAACATGAACTTGTAAGTCAGTTTACACAAGTAAATTGACGTATAAACAGCCAGAAGGTATAAATATGACTGTAAAAAATAAACAATTATTGTAACCTGAATTTTGAACCTTGACTGATTATATGAATGGTCGTTTGTGCCACACAACATTTTATCTAACACATGAGAAGTTGGAGCACAGTTGGAATCTGCCAAATGAATAAATGGAATTGGATTAATATACAACAACAAGGAAACAGAAATGTGATTTAGTTTCACTTTTTGTGACTTGGAGAACAAAAAAATGGCCTTAAATGGAAAGTTACATACTTCAAACTGGAAGAAATAAACAGAAAACAGAGCACAAACAGTGCAGTATAATAATAAACGTGACTCAGCTGCCCTTCTCTCCTCCTCTACTCTCCCATGCTCATATTCACTGACAGGGTGAGATGAATGGCCACCGTGGTCTGGTTCCTTCTAACTTCCTGGAAGAAGTGCCTGATGATGTGGAGGTGTATCTGACTGATACTCCGTCCCACTACCCCCAGGAAGAGCCTGCCAACCGGCCCCCTGCCAACTCCGCCGCCACCGTCTCCGAGAGCAAACGGGTACATCATCATCGCCGCCCTCAGCGCTAGGCCCTGTGTTCATCCATCCTCCGTCCTCTCTCTTGATTTCCGTCTCTCGCTTCCTCCACCTGCCGTCTGTGTGCTGTTCATTGTGTGTGTTTGTCCATGTGGTGACAGTGGTGACTCTAAACAAACTAACAACCCCCTCCCGAACCCTTCTCCTCTCAACCATCGAAAAAAAAAAAAGAAAAAAAAAAAAGGGGGACAATAATCCAGTGTTAACACCTTTCTGAGTCTCAGAGAAAGGAAGAAGCAAAGCCTGACATGGACAGAGGGAGGATAGACTGTGGGAGCTCTGCGGGTGATTTTTTTGCATGTAGCACTGGTTAAGGAGGACTTGAAAAAGGCTCAACTCATTCCTTACACATGATAATTTGGTACCTCTTTGCACTGAAACTCCAAAAAACCTGTTGTGGTATTTGTGTGTCATATTAAGTGCTTTATAAACACATAACAATTGCTACCCAATGACACTGAAAAGAAATATATGAGAAGAAAAATATATATAAAAAAAGAGAAAAGCATGCCTTTTTCAAACTTGATACATTTTATAACAACTTTCTTGGCTTGACTGCTGTATTTCCTTAAAGAGGCTTTGTTTCTTTATGTATATTGCACACACATCAAATCTATTTTTCAGCCCTGTTGTCAGTGGATATGCTATGATTGCTCTGAGCTCAAGAGACAAAACGAATCGCAGCACTGATACGTCCATACTGTGTTGTTACAATGGAACAATAAAAGAGAAAATTGGATATTAAAAACAATCTTTTTTTTTTTTTTTTGCACTCTTGTGTTCGTGTGTGTTGGTGTAGTTGTTGGTGACATTGTTTTTCAGTTTTCATAGTGGTGTGGGTTTTTATTTTGTTTTATTTTTTTTTAGCGACGGGACAATGCTGCCACATCTGATTTCTTTTTTGTTTTTCCTCACCCGCTTGGCAAAACAAAACTAAACAAACAGAAGAAGATTGTTCATTTCACACCATAAATGGCTCTGTCTGCCTTGTACAGTAAGTCGGCAACTTGAGATACCAAACTCGTGGCTCTAATGCAGACAGCTTTAGGTCAAAGCAGACACTTGGAAATGTCACATTACATAACAGAATTTTTTTTTTTTTTTTTAAAGGGATTCTGCGATTTTTGTCTGGGAAAATCAGATCTGTAGAATTATCCATATAGGGGCATTTTTAAATATAAATACAGAAAACTTTAGACACCAAGGAGATGGTGAAGGTCATGATATTGGTGACAATCTAAAAATGTAGAAGTATACATCCTGTATGATCTCAAAATTCATCTAAACGTCATCTAAAAGTGTCCGAATGCTTAACTGTGTGTCCAGCTGCTGCATTAGAAAAGAAGTCTGGTATCTACGGTTGTGTCCCTGGGTGTTGTATCGTATATGACTGTACTATATGTTCCCTCCTGGCCTCTCTCTTATGGTGGACTCCTTTTGGCTCTGTGGTGTGCTGATGTCATTTCCTGGCTTCCTCCTTGGTGTTTCTCCTACATATTAACTCTACGTGCGTGTTTGTTATAAAACCCTTAATCTACAATGAATTTAATTTACAGATGATAGCGTTGACCTTCTGATACAATACGCAGAGAATATTCAATTTATCTAAGTTCAGCGCGGTTAATGTCAGGTAGCTACTACAGTAGTTTCATGTCTGAAATTTGAGTTGTTTAAGGACTCTCTGGGCCCTTACCAACCCATTGCCATTGACATTGTCTGGATGTATTTTAACTTCTATTTCTATTTCCTCTTATTACTTTAAGAATGACAATCGTACACTCAGAAGGAAATTGAAGGAGTAACAGCAGAAGCATAACTCGCAAGAATCATAAAACAAACTAAAGGATACGCTCAGTTAATAAATGAAGATATTAGTAAATTCAATTTGAAAAAGAAACAATGAGAAGAGAATTATAACAACAAATACACAATATTTGCTGCAGCATAATCCTCTTTCTTCTTCCAATGACTCTCTCAACAAACACAAATGATCAGCGTTTTAAAAATCTGCATCTGAATCCGGATCTGCACGGCACGTGTGACACTTATGCTGAAGTGTTAAGAGACAAAAAAGTTCAATTTAAAAAAAAATGTATGAGATAACCTTTCATCAAATGAATTTCACATACAGGACGAAAACATGACAATGATGTCATCAATGGAAGTAGTCGCATTAAAAAACATTATTAAGGATTATTTAGAGGCTTTTTATTGCCTTTAGTTGAGATAGGACAGTGGATGGAGTCAGAAATCAGTAGAGAGAGAGAGAGAGAGAGAGAGAGAGAGAGAGAGAGAGTGGGGTATGACATGCAGGAAAGGAGCCACAGGCAGGTCGTATTCGAACCCAGGTTACCCGCTTGGAGGACTATAGCCTCTGTACAATGGGCGTGCACACTAACACTAACCACTAGCCTAGGCGACCCAGTAGTAACTTTTCCTTTTAAAAATATGCACTTACATCAATCACAAAGTATTTAAAAAAATTCCAATATGGTTTAAAAAGGTAAGAAGTAGAGCATCAGTCAGACAGTCTGTAATTTGTCCAATGAATGCACCTCAGTAAACTTACATTACACAAGAGTGTAGATGTTTTTCATTCACAGAGAACTCATACCTTTAGGTGCTACACATCTTGTATACAAACCAAACCAAATACAGTCTCACTACTTCACGACTGCATTGAAAGCAAATAGAGAAACACGGTCCGCTTAATAAGCCTCGTCATATGCAGTATGAATTCTGCTTCTTTTGTAATTCGCTGCCCCCCCCCTCCCCCTGCCTCCACACCTCCCCATCACTTCTCCCCTCAGGTTACAGCAGAAACCACCGACACCGTCGACAATGAGGCCGCCCCTGTGCGTGCCCCGTCCCCGATTGTCAGGCCCCTCCTCCCCGGCACCATGAGACTCTTGAGCCCTACGAGGGTCCCCCACATGCCACTGGACCCCCGGGACTCCCAAGATCTGGCCAACAAGAAGAAGAAGGGACTACTTTCTAAGGGGAAGAAGCTGCTGAAGAGACTGTCCCCTGTGAAATAATACAAAAAAAAAAAAAAAAAAACGTGCAGCGTACATGTACAAAAAGCGTACACATGCTGGGCTCTGTATATTGCATCCATACAATCAACTCTGATCCAACATCACATGACAGAGAGGATGTGAGCTCTGAATCCTGGACTGTGTGAGCCTGTTTGAATATAACCAGTGATATAATTATTCATGTGTGGTGATGATACAAATCAACTAAATTATGTACAGTGCAGTGCCAAAATCACGAGAGGTAACCTACAGACACAAGATGAATTACTGTGATGTATTCATGACTTTGAAAAAAAAACCAAAAAAAAACTAGGATTTTCATGACATTTTCCTTTTCTTTATTTTGAACAAACTACACATTTATTTGACGCAGGGCCGCTGTGAAATTAGAGCATGTGGTTACATCTTCAGTTTCTATACAATTACCAAATTTCTTATTTTAAGGATTATCGATGTCACCACAAGGAAACAGAAACCATACTCCTCTAGCAAAATCTCCAGAAGACTACACTGTAATCGATTGCATTCTTGTCAAGTAATGCTTGCTGCTAACTCAAAGGCTTTATTCAGTGCAATATCAAGACGGAGGTGGTAGCATACGGGGTACCAGATTGGCAACAGGGCATTACAATCCGAGACACTTGGCAAGCTTTTTGCATGTCTCAGTGGCCTTTTATGAAAACAAAATGAGCGTGACACTCCTCGTTTGATCAACGACTATTTCGTTTTGTTTCATGACTTGTTCTTTGTTTGTTTCTGAAGGGTTTGTTTGTTTCGTCCTCGCTGTCAAACTGTCATGAAACGCCTAGTTCAAGACTCAAATTTGTGTCCGTCTTCCTATTGCACAAAAGTGGGTGTGTTTTTTTTTTTGGGGGGGGGGGGGGGGTTGGTAAAAGATATGTTTAGTGTGCCTGTGTGAATGAGTACGTGCTGCATTCATGCTTTGCACTTTTTTTTATGTTTCTTGGTCAGATTTCGTTTATCCAAAGGAGAGGCCATGTAGTGATTGATTCCTGTGATGTGGTGATGTACTGCTACCTCCATCGCCTGTGCACTGTTAAGTTCTGTCTCATGTTGATGTAAAGGGTCATGTTAAAGCCTCGTGGAAATGACACAATCAAAAAGTCAAAGTGCATTTTCCTCTGTGTTCGGTTTCATCTGTAATGGGTCTGTAGAGAGAGCTCACTCTCAGACCTCTCATACCTGATTATTTCATGCTCATACCATAAAAAAGGGATCATGTCGTCCACAGTGTAATAACATCTGAGGGGAACAGAGTAAAAGTTATTCCTATGATCTTGTTTAATTCAAGCAGATGTACCCAAAGCCAGAGTCGGGAGAACACAGACACCAATAATTACTCATGCCAAATATCTGTCGCTGCTTCATTTACTTTGTTATCTCACTAAATGTTTCATATCTGTAGTAGAGTCTACAAAGACAAACAAAAACTCTTTGCGTAGTGCCATAAAAGGGCTGGCAGCAGAAAGTGTAATTGCATCAGTAGAGATGACTTCATTTCCTGCAGTCTGTCCCACTCTGTGTGAACTGATTTCTTTCTTTGTCAGTTTATAAGATCCAAAACATGTGTCTTAATTTAGTGTTGTAGTCAAGAGCACACTAATCAAGACCAAACATACCCAATACCAGAGTGCTCCAAGACAAGATCAAGACAAGACCGAGACAAGATCAAGACATTTAGGGATCGAGACCAAGTCAAGACCAAGGCAGGGCGAGACCGAGGCAAGACCAATACCATAAATATCACTGAAAAATCATCTTGTGTACAGTGGGCGTGTCACACACTTAGACCGTAAAATCGGAAAGGTTGTGACTGTAACTGGGGGATAAAAATCAATGAATGAATTAATGGAATTATTCATTCTCTTAAAAAGGGGAGTTTTCATTCTTATCATATCAAAATTGCCTTTCAGTTGTGGTCTTGGTCTGAATTTAAAATCTGGAGTCCGCCCAGTCTGAGACCGAGACAAGACCGAGTAAAAATGCTTTTGATTACGAGACGAGACCAAGGTCTTCAAAAAGTGGTCTTGAGACGATTGTGAGTACTACAACACTAATCTTAAAACATGTTAGGCTGCATGTAGAGACAAAAAAGGAACTCAATGGGATTAAGGAAAGTGAAAATCAGCATCACACTGAATTATTCCAGTAACACTTAAAAAAAAAATCTAATCAATAAAACACGGTAAATTGATAGTTAATTTACTTTATGAAATAGTTATTTGACTATTAACAAGCAATTAAACGATAAAGGATATTGTTTACTAGAAATAAGCCATGCTCTTATTTGTGCTTTTTCATCATCAGTTTGTGTTAAATAAAATCATTACTGTATAAATGATATATTTTTATTATATCTCATAGTAGACAATATAGATCACTTTGGGATTAGAAATTTGATAGTAAACCATTTACATATAGACTGATTTATATACTTTATATCAGGGCCCAACCGATTTGTGATTTTTTGGGTCCAATACTAGGGAGAGAAAAAAAATCATATACCGATATCATTCTTTGATCTATCTCAATCTGTAGAGATAATATAAATATACAAATTATTCCATATAGTGCCCTTGGCTGGTGAAAAATAACTGCCAGTGTAATACAATGAAACTGAAATTAAATGCTATTTGACTGGTATAATAAATCTAATATCAGCACATATTTGCGATAAAAGTAGCCGATACCGATAGTCACTAGATATGTTAATATCGGCTGATATCGGCTGGGCGATTAATCAGTCGCGCTCTGTTTTATATACTGTCTTAGGTATTTGTTAATGATAAACAAATGATTGAAAGCTTGAAGAAATTGTTCGTTCAACGTATAAGGCATCTTTAATATTGTTTTTAAATCGCTAGTTAAACTTTGGTGAATAATCAGTTTGTAAACCATTTATAGCAACAGGAAACAGTAAAATAACTATTAGCTACAATAACTCTCAATTTACTGTGAATTATTGATGATGTTTTTTTGTGAAGTGTTACCATTTTTCCAGAGGTAAATGTGGTTTGTAGAATTTTAATGTTTTCCTGTTTTCTTTTTGTGATCAGATTTCTAAATTTAACCATTAAAACATTTACTTTTTAAATTTTCATCAGATTTTGGACGAGGTTAAATACAAAACTTTAAAGTTTTTGAACTTTAATGGTAACTTTCACCCTCACTGATCACAAATGTGTTAACCTGTTGTCTCTAACACAACTCAAAGCTCTCTCCTGTGTCAGTCACTGGCTTTCGAGGAGAGTGTGTGTGTTTTATGTACAAGATCATAGGAATGAGGCAGAATTTCATGTTTACAGCACATATTTAGCACCAAGAAGAATAGCCTGCATATTGTGCGGACATTTTTTTGTCGTTTGGAGGTGACTGAAAAAGTGCTCAAGACCTGTATCTATAACTGGAGTATATTTTTCTCATAGCTTTAACAATTTTAAAAGTGTGCTCTGTTTTGTTTGAAGGATCCACTCTCTCCTCCTGATCTTCATTCATTTCCTGCATCAAGGTGCACTTGAACAATAAGGCAGATGTGAGTTCATTGTGTGAAACAGGGTTTACCTCCTCACTACATTTTAATATCATTGAAATGTATTGACCAGAGAAGGCTTTGCCAAATTGGAATGTAAGAAAAGTTTAACAGGAAGTAGGTTTACATCAGATTTTTTTTTTAATGTTCTAAAGCAGTTTTTCATTCAGTCTGAAATTCTGTAACACGGTATCCATGAAACAAAAATCATTCTCTTCTGAATGGGTGTAGTGTCTCTTAACACTGTAGCTCTTTTGTACTCGGATCCATTTGTAGATACTTTCTAAATGTTTCTACTTGATTTTACGACAGCCTTTTTGTTAGTGCACTGAGATTTCCTCTCCCTGTAACAGACTGCGAGCATTCTCCATAGTGTCCTTTGAAATCAGATGTATCAGTCCACCGTATGTGCTTGCTTTGTGAATCAGAGTTTCAAAAAAAAAAAAAGAAGAGAAAAAAAAAGATGATGAGAAATCATTGGACAGTATTTATGGTGATTAATTGTGTGTGGGTGTGCATGTGAAAAAATACAACTTTTATAACCAAATTAAATTTGATATTTTTAAAAAATTATTTGTATGTATTTCTGTGTCTGCTATACATTTTCACTCAAGGTCAGAGTGGATCTGATGGATTTCATACTGCATAAAATATTCCACCCTTTTTACATCACTTACTTCATAACACAAACAAAATTAAAATTGTGTATCTTATTTTGAAATTAAATTCTTGTCCCCCTGTCAGTCTCCTCAACCAGCGTTCATGCATTTCTTTGAGCCAGTTCATTCATCTTTCTTGTTAGTTAGTTTGTTTAGGTGCATCTTTCTAAATGCTTTGCCTATGAAGATTGATATATTACACCATAATGATGATAATGTTGTAACTTACCAATACAATTCTACAATTCTTCTATTTTTTTTTTAAATCTGGTTGTATAAGGGAGAAACTCCACTCAATTTCCGATCACATTTTCATATCCTGGAATGTTGGACCTGACTCATGGCTATCCTTGATTTTGGGATCTCTTTCTCTATCAAGACATGCAAAATGAACTATTCTCATTCAGACAGGATCCTACAAAAGGATGCTGTCCACGAAGACAGGACATTCAGGAGGTTACAGACAGTAATAGTATACCGTTATAAACTACACAATGCACCGAAAATGACTAAACCACCGATGCCAAGCAACTGGCTGGAAGCTAGATAGTCCAGGAGACCCAGAAAACACTCAACAAAAGCAAAGGCTGCCAGGAATGCCATAGACTGATATATCAGTCTGCACAAAAGGCTGGAGTATAGCAACAAAACTACCCAGCACTCCTATTGCTAAAGAGACTAGCAATGAAAACAAATACACAGACAGTTCTTTGTTTGCTTTTATGCACACAACGAGACAACCCAGGGAGAACCTGTCACTACGTCTGAAGGTGAGATAATGAGTCAGCACAGAGCACTGGAGTCCAAGAGTATTTAAGCTCCCCACACCTGGTTTTAATTAAGGCCAATCAGCCACAAACACACCTGACTCTGCACTGAGTTGATTCCTTCAACAACCTCAGTGAGAAGCTAGAGAGAGAGAGTGCCCTCACACACATACACTATAACTAAAGTATCATACAGATGTTTTATTCTTCTGTAGAATTGTATTTTACTTTATAAAGTTACTCAACAAAGTGGAAACATAAATCTTCCATTTTCAAGACTTTGGTGACACTATGTTTAAAGACACAATTTGAAGTACTAACAAAAGGATATGTTAAGTGAAATTCATACAGAAATGCTTCTGCCTCTCTAGCAGCAGGGTGTACCAATCTAATGCTTAAATCACAGGATGGTGACGGTGTTTATCTAACACAAGGCAACTTGGTAGTTCATAAACAACAACGCTGTCCAACTAATGAGGCATTTGAGGCATTCTTATGTTTCCTTTTTTCTCTCTCTTTTTTTTTTGCACATGTGGGTTCAAAGCAAGACAGATAATTTAAAAACATAAATGAACAGAAAGCCTTATAATATGACACTGTATCCCCAGGCTCAGGCTTATTCAGGCGTATAATGTATAAGAAGAGAGGTACCTTTCCTCTCTAGGGTAAAGGCTAATTACTGCACCATTCTTGTATTGGTGAACGATTTTGCTGATGTGGTCTTCCCGTTTTATTGTTAGAATCTTTCTTTTAGCTTTTGGATTAATTGACAATAACTAATGGCTTTAACCGAGCTGAGCAGTGACATTTATTTACTTTGTCAGCCATTTAATAACTTTGAAAAATGTCTCAAGATGTTAAATGTGACCCTGAAATGTATTATGACATTAGTATTTCAATGTTTGAGCAGTACTGGAATCAAAGAAATAGTGTTTAAAAAAAACAAGACTACTTTGTGCCACACATGAATTTAGACATTAGTCTGAGGACTTTCTGTTAAATCTGAGCCATGGTCAGGGGCTATATTTTAGAGACTAGCCTCTAAGTAGGATGACTCTCATCCATGACTTCAAGCTCTTCCTGTGTGGGCGGAGCCTGAGAAGGAGAGTCTTGTTGAGCTTTGATGAGAAGTAGCCCAGTGAAGACTCACATATCAACAAGATCTAGCAAAAATCATTGGGATTGATCCATTTGTGTTGTTACATAATGCTGTAGTTTACCTCGTTTTGAATGCTACAGTAGAGACTTTTACAATTATTTCTCAATATTAATCACAAATTGGTGTGTATGGCTGTTCCGACCTTCTCCCTGTTCATGCTGTTACTCTGCAGTCCACAAGAGGGCAGCAGTGCTTCACATTTTGAGACAAAGTAACAGCGTTGTAATGTGAAGACTGCAGTGTCACAGTGAGCAGAGTAATACATGAGGTGAGAAAACCCAGGTCTCATTCATCTATTTAATTGTCTGATTAAACATTTGCTGACTTCAGCACAGTAACCATAATCACACAGATACCTAATTCAAATCATAAAAAAAAAGTCTATAAAGGGCATAAAGGTCTATGAAGTTTGGAAAAAAAGTCTTCCACTTTCTTACTTTCTACTTTTCTTTTTACCTACTTTTTATACCCCTTTCTACATGCACATTAGTTTTAAATACTTGCTTCATTTTAATGTTAATTCAAGCAGAAAAAGACCCTCAGATTTTTATCAGTTTCAGTGAAACATCCATTCAGTAAGAAAGAGGATAGAATATGTGAATCAATTAATCTTTGTTGTTGTTGCTTCTAATACATTTCACCAACATTATCTCCTCTCTTCCTTGACTCCCTCCCTTTCTAGTTGTAATCTATTCTTCTCTCACCCTCACTATCAAGCAAATCTTTATTAAGCTGTACATTTCTGGAGTCACCAAGGGGCTGTTGGACGTTTCAAATTCTCACTGGATGTAACATCGCCATTATTCCCTCTCGCCCTGGCTACCTCTCCACCTGAGGGGGGGGGGGGGGGCGACGACACATCTTCTCAATATTTTCTCTCACCTCTCTCAATATTTTACAAAACCTCAAAGTGCTAGTTAAACATTCAGCGCCGTTTAACCCTCCTGCCCCGGCATCACAGCGGGGATGTCCAAGGTAAAATATTCTAATTTGACTCTGATTCACCAAGAGACCTTTTGTCATGTGGAGAGTTTGGGATTTCTTTTGAAGTCTCTGAGATGGAAGAGTTTTTAAACTTCATTTAGCTCCCGTAGCAGGTGTGGAAAAGGGTTCAGAGGAAACATGTGTGCACACGTGGAGATCTAGAGTCCGTTGGGTCCCGAGGCAAAAACCATTTGGGGGCCCTCCCACCAGCGTTCATCACCATCATGTCTGCCAGTGTCCTGACACTTAACTCCTCTTCCTCTTTTTTTCCTGACTCTTCATCTGTCTTTGTTGACTTTTATTGACGAACTTTGGTTTTCACAGCAGTAATGCATTCAACATTCACCAGGGAATCGAGAGTGAGTGCTGTCACATGGGGCCCAATTAGGGAGGTTTCCTACTGTCATTTCAAAATTTGAACATTTTGGGCCACAGCTTTGGTTTCAGTTTGTGAGCCCTCAGGGGCCCCCTAGTCTGGGGCCCAAGGCTGTTGCCTGCCTTGCCTGTTGACAAGCAGCGCCTCTGTGTGTGCATGGTACTGTAAGTAGATTTGCATAGAACAACACATATTAATTCTCCTTCTGTAGATACAAACAAAGCTAGGCCGACCAGCTTGAGATCCCTGGAGCAAAAAATAACTTATAGCTCTAATTTATTTTCCTGTTCACCTGCTCTATTTGCAATATGGAGACTCTCCCCTATACTAATCATGCACATGTAGCATTGCTGTTTCATTAGTCAGCTTGTACACACCAACCACAATTATCAACCTGAACCTGCCCTCACAGTTATTCTGCTCTAGTTAGTTTCTAATTCGATCACACACAAGTTAATTAAGTGACTTAAGTTAACACGTTTATGGTTATTATATTTATGGAGCATACAGTACATTTAACATGTTTTGATTTCATATATAAGTACTTGTAGTTTTTGACATTTAAACACATAGATTCAAATGATGTAGGCACGTGCGATTCTGAGATTATACATTTAGAAAAAAAAATGCATTCTTTCACATTACATTGCATGAAAAACATTTGACATATGAATAATGAATGAAAACATGGTTTATTACAACTGACACTACAATTCGTTTTGTGCAACATTTGCTGTGTACACATTTTTTGTTTCGTGTATTTGCACTTTTGATGTTCAACGTATTGTCTGTGCTTTATTAAGTATAAGTGACTCTCCCTGCAACCAGATGTACCTATGTTGTCTGAATGTTGTTTTGTACATTTCACATACCTTTTGTATTTTTTCCGATTGGTACTGAGTGATAAAGGTTAACAAAAGTAAAGTCAGCTAACACTTGGCATTTTTGATATTAGGGTTCCTATGTTAGGCAGGGCTTCAAGCTGAGATAAAAACTTAGAACCTGCTTTAAGGCATTTATCATTTGAGTCAGGACTGTCTCTGGCCAAAGGGAACCCTGTCTAAACAAACACACTACATTTATAGTGCCCCAAAACAAATCTGTGGAAAAAAATAAAAAATAGTTTGTAAAAACACATATTATACTTTTGAGATTTCCAGCTGACATAATCATGAAACAAGTAATTCTGCATCACAAAGAAATCCTCAATTAACAAATAAGGTATAAAAATAGGAGATGTTTTCTTCACTTAAGTCACTTCAACCTGAAATACCTCAAAAAGTATTAGTAACAGTCAGACTAACTGTAACCTTGAAATAATAACAATTCCCAAATTAGTAGGAATGATCATTAAAGTTTATTATTTGTTGTTGCTGGCATTGGCATTTTGAATTGCCACATGCAACAAATATTTAGCCAAATTTATAACATTGTTATCGGGTAGGTTATTTGTGTCACTTCTTTTAATTGATGAGATGAAGAAGTTGATTGAACTGTGAAGACTGGAGTCGATGAGAAGATGGCTGATGATGTCATCTGAGGCAAACTGCGAAGGCTGGGGTTGACTGGATGACGGCTGATGCTGTGATCTGAGGCTGATGGGATGAAGAATGTGATGAACTTGCGAAGGCTTGGTGGCAGTCGGGAGGTGGAGGGTCGCTCGTAACGATGGCATGAATGAACCAGTGGAAGAGAACGCCATTTTTAAACAAGACAACAGCAATGTGATAGCCTAGCAATGAGGGAGTGGAGCAGGGCTATTGGATAGATGTGACCAGGCGATGATTACGAGAAACAGTGAGTGAGCA